GAGAATATGAATGATACTAGTTTGGAATCTGTAGGCATGGGGGGGAATCAGCATAAGAGGAAATTGTGGGGGGACCCCCACACTAGAAGCTTGCTCTGGTCTTGCTGCTGAGTGACACTCTAACCCCCAACATGTCTCTTATGTCTTTAGGTGTTCTTCATGAGATGGAGCTCTTTTTCCAGGTGCTTCATCTCAAAACTCCTGTCCTACAGGCCCACACCTTCTGGCCCTTCCTGCTAAGTGCACATCTGCTTGGTACTACCTGCCCCCACCTCAGAAAGCAAGCCAAAAAATTCTAAGCAGTCCAGGTTGGATTCAGACCTCATGCCTCCCTGTGGCTCCTAGAGACAGTGTACACACACCAGGACCACAAAGCCAAACTGGGAGGAAGAACTGATGATGCTGGGAGATGGCCAAAACAGGGGCTCAAGGCATATCTTCATGACACCCACCCTCACACAGAATTGTTGAAGGACCTGGGATGGAAAGTTAAGTTCTCCCCATCTCATACATCCCCAGTTGAGAAGTCATTTTAGAGGCAAATTCTAGGATGATATATAGCCCTCCCTTATTAAGTGAATTCTAGTTTCTATTTTTTTGTGTGTAGGTGTATGTATGTAGAGGTGTGTGTGTGTGTGTGTGTGTGTGTGTGTGTAGGTATAGGGGTGTGTAAGTGCAGGTGTAGGGGTGTGTGTGTAGGCGTGTATATAGGTGTGTGTGTGTTTATGTGCAGGTGTGTGTGTGTAGGTGTATGTACCTGTGTGCTGGGAGGGAATAGGTCAGAGATTAACCTTGGATGTCATTCTTTGGGAGCTACCCACTTTGTTTTTTGAGATCAAGTATTTCACTGAACTGGTGAGAGCTGGCCGAGTAGCTGTTTGGCCTTCAAGTTCTAGGATTCCATTTGGATTCACCTTCTCAATACTGGGATTAGAAGATAGCAGGCTTCTGGGTTGGGGGTGGTGGCACACACACGTTTAATTCCAGCACTTGGGAGTCAAAGGTCAGATCTCTGTGTGAGGCCAGCCTGGTCTACATATCAAGTTCAGGACAGCTACGTAGTGAGACTGTTGAAGAGGAGGAGGACAGGATGCAGGTCCTTATGCTTTTAAGGCAAACAATTTTCTGACTATGCCATCTTCCTGGCCCTGAGTTCTAGTGTCTTTTGATCATGAATTTGCCATGTGTGAGGTTGTTGGAGGGATTGTGGTAGAGAGAGGCTAATGAAGTCAACAAAATGAATTTCCAGTCCCTGCAGGATAGAGCCTGGGGTTGGGGTTGGGGGCTCTTTCCTAGATCAACAGGGGGCAGGCAGCTGCATCCCGACCCCTAGCCAGGCTCAAGTGGGGACAGGGCTTTGGCTAGTGTGGCAGGATACTTGAAGCAGTGGAATCAGACCAAACCCACACACGGAGCTCTGTACAGGCTTAAATAATTGATGAGGTCTGAAAGAATCAAGCCCTCACTCGGAGCCCATGAAAGTGGCCCAGGAATCTGCACAGACTCTGCCTCTGGCTTTCCAGTGGGTGGTGCTGTAGGACAAGGAGCTGAGGGTCTTCACTGAGTTCCCTGAGATCCAGCCTTGATCCTGAGCATGGCCCATGAGGACAGCACCCAGGCATTGGCACAGGCCCCACAAGTGGCACAGTGTGCCAGGCAAGCAATAGCTGAGTAAAAGAAACACTTCAACACTTCAGTGTGTGTGCTGGCCTAGTCCAACCACCACCTCAGCGGGGTCCTGGGAAAAGCCAGCCTGGCACTGCCAGCTGCTCCCTCAATGCCACAGTAAGGCTAACCCCACCCTTAGTAGCCCAAGGCCCAATTTTTCTTTTGGTGGGGAGAGTGCTTTGGAAAATTATCTAGCTTCCAATACAGCTGTTTCTCTTGTTGGAAGCCGAAGTATCTTTTCCCTTTCTTTTGAATATGGGCTTATCCTACATCCTAGGACTTATCCCAGCGTGTTTTAGTGCAAGAAAACAAAAACTCACGTTTATCCACAGTTTATCGTGTTATCACATCCTACATATTCTTCAGGGCCCACTCTCTAACTTGGGTGGGGGTGGAGCAGCATCCTGCCTCACACTCATGCTCAGAGGTTAGGATACTGGCTCCAGATCATGCTGGCTTTGTGCTCTTAGCCAGTGGCCCAGTTTGCTGGCTCCATGGCTGACCCCATCTCTGGTTCACTTTTGCATCTCCACCCAGCTCAGAGACTCAGGATGGCTTTAATCGAATGCTTCAGGAGATTTGTTTCCCTCTGGAGTGAGAACAGGGTTCGAGCTCATAGGTGGGCTAGGGTTATTCACAGCCTTACCATGATCCCAAGGCATCAGTATGTGGTTGCTAGTGAGCTGCAGCGTGTGTGTGTGTGTGTGTGTGTGTGTGTGTGTGTGTGTTGCATGTAAGTATATGTGTGTATGCATATGTCCTGCATGTGTATATGTGTGTGTGGTGTGTGTACCAATGTGGAAACCTGCTCTGATTGTTGTACAGAACCCTCCAGGCCCAGCGGGATCTCCAGTCAGTGGCAACTGTGCAGACAGCCCTGAACACCTACCTACCAGGTACCTGGCCCACGACCCAAAGGGATTTGCCTCTGGCACCTGAGATCCCTGATGGCAGTGGTGGGATCCCTCTGGAGGGAGGGCAGCAGTGAGCCAGTAAAGAAACTGGAGTGGGGTTGTGTGCTGCAGACAACTCACATAGGCTAGTGTGAATTTACCTGGGGCTGTGGGAGGAGGAACTCAGTGAGATCTGCAAGAGGCAGGTGACAGTGTGGACCTCAGGTGCAGCAGGCAGAGAAGAAAACAAGCATTAAGCCTGAGGCAGAAGTGAGCAGGTCCAGGGGAGACGGAGGAGGGGCTAGAGATGGGAGGTGACTGAGGGAAGGGCTCATGTAGAAAGTGACCCAGTGATGGGCCTGGGGACATCCCAGCTGGACCTTAGCTTTGCCTTCAGAAGCCACAGAACTTGAAAGCCTGCTCTAGAGCAAGGCTTCTGAGGAGCTGGGGAGCGGGGATGGGGGAGGCACAGCTAGGAGCTTTCTGAACTTTTCTGGGATGCAACTCAGAGAGAAGGCTGCTGAGATCCAGGTGAACCAGTCACATGGTTTTCTTTCCTTTCTTCCTCTCTTTTTCTTGTATTTGTTATTTTATTTTATCTATCTATCTATCTATCTATCTATCTATTTTGAGACAGGGTTTCTCTGTTTAACAGTCCTGGCTGACCAGACTGAGATCTGTCTGCTTCTGCCTCCCTAGTACTGGGATTAAAGGTGTGCACCAAGATGCCCAGCTTTTCTGTCTTGTGGGGAAGGTGTAATTTAAAAAGCTGCTTGAGACAGACATCATGCAACAGAGTTCACATGGAGAAGTTTTTTATTAGGGGAAAGGGAATGGGAAAGGTGGAGGGGAGGGGGATACTGGCCTCTGGGGACAGGAGCAGCAGAAGAGAAAAGGGAGGGATGATAGAGGCAGAGAAAGGAACAGAGAGAGAGAGAGATTGAGAAAGGGGGGCCTTTTAAAAGGGAACATAGTGAATGTGCACAGGTGGTGCTCTTAGTGGCTGCAGCTGAGTGTGTCTCCTGTCAGAACATCAAGGGCAGGCCAGTACAGATGCCTGAATACTAACAGGGAGTGTTTTCGTTTTGAGACAGAGTTTCTCTGTGTAGCCCCAGCTGTCCTGGAACTCTGTAGACTGGCCTCGAACTCACAGAGATTCACCTGCCTCTGCCTCCCAAGTGCTGGGGTTAAAGCCGTGCACCATCACCACCTAATTTCTTCTCTTTTTCTAAGACCATGTTCCAAATAGTCCAGGCTGACTTTGAATCTCATGCCTCTATGTCTCAAGAGCTGGGATCATAGGTGTATACTTCTATATCCATTTTATGCCATGCCGGGAATGGATTTCAGGGCTTTCTACAAACTAAGCAAGCACTCTACCAACTGACCTACACTCCAGAAGCTTGCAGTGGATCAGATGTGAGAGATGAAGGGATCTGAGCAAAGGAAAGTCTGAGCTTTAGCAGCTGGGTGCCTGGTGTCACTTATGATGTGTGAAGACAGAGGAGGAAGCAGGTTTGGGGGAAACAGAGTGTTCTGTATATTTGGGTTTGTTAGAGGTGAACAAATGTCAGACTCCCAATATAGGCATCAGGCAGGGGCCTAGGTGAGTCCTGAGAACTCAGTTGCCTGGGGCTCTGGCGGGGTGAGGGGGGAGTTTGAGTAGGAATGGCCCCCACAGGCTCATAGATTAGAATGCTTGGACCTTAAGGAGTGGTGCTACTTGGCAGGCATTAGGAGGTATGGCCTTATTGGAGGAAATGTGTCACTGAGGGTGGGTTTTGGGCTTTCTAGTACTCAAGCCACACTCTGTCTTTTTCCTCCTGCTGCCTGCAGATCTCGATGTAGAACTCTCAGCTCCTCTCCAGCACCATGTCTGCCTGCATGCCACCATGCTTCCCGCCATGTCCTCAATGGACTAAACCTCTGAACTGCAAGCCAGCTCTAATTAAATATTTTCCTTTATAAGAGTTGTCCTGGTCGGTAGTGGCACATGCCTTTAATCCCAGCACTCGGGAGACAGAGACAGGCAGATCTCTGTGAATTCAAAGCCAGCCTGGTCTACAGAGGAAGTTCCAAGACAGATCACGGTGTCTCTTCCCAGCAATAGAACTCTGACTAGAACAGGCTCTTACAGCCTCAAAACCTGGCCTGTCTGAGGGAGGGATCTGTGGGCTCGGTGTAGAGGTTGGCATAGCTTGAAAGTTTCTGTGTAACAACATCCATATCTGAAGTTAGTTCCCTTCCCTTCACAGTTTGCTTTCAAATAAAGACTCAGGCAAAGAAGGCAAGTCATCTTTTATATTTAAAATAAATCCATTTGTAATTTGTGGGGAGAAGCCAAAGACATTGGGGAAAGATGGAATTCGGATACCAAGATATTTTACCCCTGGAGGTTCCCCCCCACACACAACACACACACAAGGTGCTCTCCTTTGGAGGGATGAGCAACATCCAGGTAGTCTTAAGACCATGCTGGTCTGTGTGATTGACAGGTCCACAACACTGAGGGCGGGGCCGGCCCTGAGTAATGAACCGCAGGCTCTTCCTGCTGTCAGGGGTCCCAGAGAGAGAATCCCTCCATGTCGAGACCCCAGACATCCCCAGAAGGGCAATTAAGAGTCATGTTTGGAATATGAAATGAGGGCTTTCAAAGCCTGCGGGGTTCCACTTTCTGTAGGAAACACACAGGTCCTTCTTGGTGCCTGCTAGACAGGGCTGTGAAATTGACTCATAGCCTGGATTGATCGATTTATTTTAATACTTCCTTGTAATTTTGGTTTATCTTGTAAAGTAAGGCTTGCAAAGAGGCAGAGGGGGTCTCCTGGAAAAGGACGAGGAGGCGAAGATGGAAGGAGACACGGAAGAGAGAGAGGGGAAAGAGGAAAGGAAGAAGTGGAGGGGAGTGAGGAGGATGGTGGCTCCCTAGGCAGAGGGAAATTGGGGCTAAGACAAGACAGAAGCGGGGCTTGGGTTCTTATAAAAAATAAGTAGCCTAAGAATCTGAGGTCCCTGTGGGAAAGAGCTGTGTCAAAATGTGGGAGTGTCTTCCTGGGGTTTGGGAGTAAAATATGAATTCTTTGGGGATTTTTCTACTGCATCAAGAAGGCTCCCTCTGTGGGGCAGGGTTAAGGGTGAGTATAGTTGCCCATCCTCAGGGTGCCCTGGCGCACAGCGTACTCTTCCTGGTGGGCCTTAAGAGCTTGCTGTCGATCAGCCTCAGTGGGGAATGTAGCAAGATGGGGCCCCACCTGTGGACAGAGGGAAATGACAGGTGCTTCAGGCTCAGTCAATTGAGATGGCCCTGTGCTTCCACATCCCTCCCCAAGCCTCAGTCCCAGAGCAATAATGAAAGTACCTGTGACTAGGGAGGCAGGACAGTGCCAGCCCTAGCTCTGGGCCTGAAGGAGACAGGGCAAAGGCACCAGGGACAGTGCCTGCCAGGTGGTGGCTTCTAGGTTCTTTCCAGCTCATGGTTATATATGTCTGGTAGATGCCCCCCAACAGTGACTGGAGGCGACATTAACTATGACCTGGCAACCTTCACATGGTGACTTTCTACCATTTAAAAATCCACTCCAAAAAGGGCCAGAGCAGCTCTGGGAGTAAAGACACTTGCTGCCAAGCAAGCCTGAGTTCCACTCCCAGGGATCCACAAGATGGGAGATGAGAATTGGTTCCATGGAGCTCCTTCACAGGTGCACTACACACTCACTCTCAAACACACACACACAGAGAGAGAGAGAGAGAGAGACAGAGACAGAGACAGACAGAGAGAGAGAGAGAGAGAGAGAGAACGAACATTCTTTCCCCAAGAGGAGAGCAATCTACTTTCTTCTCTCCTATGTGGATAAGACTCCCAAGAGTACCAGAGCCAGAGTGCAGGGACATGTTGCCTTACAGTGCAGGAAAGCAACAAACAGATGCATGAGGGAGGGCTGGGCATGTGACTCAGTGCTTGCCTAGTATTGGAGATGCTCTGGATTTCATTCCTGGCACCAAATAAAACTCAGCCTGTAATCCTAGTACTTAAGAGGCAAAGGCAGAGAAATCAGAAATTCAAGATTACCCTCAGTTCCACAATGAGTTTAAAGCTAGCCTGGGCTACATGAGATGGTGTCTGGTCTCAAAGCAAAACAATACAAAATGTAGGAGAGAGACACATTCCCGAAGTGACACTTTCTATACTTAGGACCCTGTCATGGGACACTGGGGAGTCGCTCAGGCAGAGACTGTTGGCTCATGCCAGGCCCTGGATTCATAACCAGCACCACAAAGTGACAAACCCTAAAAGGGGAGGGGACATGCAGAGAGGACTCAGCAGTTAAGAGCACTGGCAGCTCTTGCAGAGGTCCTGAGTTTGGTTCCCAGCACCACATGTTGGCTCACAATGACCTGTAACTCCAGTCTCAGGGATCCAACACCCTCTTCCGGCCTTCTTGGATTCCAGGCACACACACACATGGTATATAGGCACACGTGCAGGCAGAACACTCATACACATAAAAATAAAAAATTTAGCCAGTTAGTGGTGGTGCTCGCCTTCAATCCCAGCACTCAGGAGGCAGAGGCTGGTGGATCTCTGTGAGTTTGAGGCCAGCCTGGTCTACAGAGCGAGTGCCAGGACAGCCAGTTCCACACAGAGAAACCCTGTCTTGAAAACCAACCAACCAAACAAACAAACAAAAAAACCAAAAAAACAAAAACATACAAAACAAACAAAAATAATAATAAATTAAAATAAAAAATAAATTTAAATCTAAAACCAAAAAGAGGCAGGATTTTATGCCATCAGCTGCTCAGCTTGCTCTTCCCTCCCCAGAAGCAGTGGCAGCTGAGAACTTGTCTCTTCTTACAGCTGCCCCTGGACTATTAGTTCCAAGTGCAGGGAGACCCCACCCAACAGTGCAACATCCCCAACACGGTATTCCTCTTTGGGATACCCTCAGGGCAGGAAGAGTGCAGGCTCTAGCTGCCCACTGAATCCTTCTTTGTGTTTTCTCCCTCTCTCACACATCCATAGCTGTTGAACACAGCTCTGGGGCAGACACAGGAGAATTGCTGTGATCAAGGAAGACTCAGATCTGCCCTTCCAGAACTCACAGCCCTGCAGGAGAGCAAGTGTCTCCCAACAACTTCCAGGCTCCCTGCTCACAGTTAGCAGCGAGGGCAGGTGAGTACAGTGTAACAGCTGAACCCATGGCTTGGTGGGCTCAGAGGAGAGGGCCTGGAGAGAAGGTTTGGGGAGAGCTGGAAGAATGTGCAGGGCTTTCCTAGGCAAAGCTCAATTACAATCAAGTTCAAGATGGGGTGGAGTGTCTGGAGTAGAAGGACAACACAGCTTTGTACTGTCAGGGGCACAGTTGATGTCAGGCTAATGCAGGGCCTCAGACATGAGGTCCTTGTCAAGAACCCAGGGCAGTGTCAGCCTTGTAGGTGTGTGTCTGGGTTAGAAGCCCCTCCCCACCACCTCCCCGTGTGTGTGTGTGTGTGTGTGTGTGTGTGTGTGTGTGTGTGTGTGTCTGTGTCTGTGTCTGTGTGTGTGTATTCCACTGCAGGTTGGTGCTTGTAGAAGCCAGAAGAGTTTGTCAGATCCCCTGGATCTAGAGTTACAGGTGGCTGTGAGTCCCTGGGAACTGAACTTGGATCCTCTCAAAGAACAGCAAGCTCTCTTAACTGCTGAGTCATATCCTCCCCCCACCCCCGCCACCTTGTTTTTTGTGCCAAGGTCTCCCACTGCACCTAGAGCTCACCAATTAGCTAGAGCAGGGGTCTGCCTGCTTCTGAAGCCTCTCCTGCCCGGGGCTGGGGTGACAGACTTGCACCACCACAACTGGCTTCTATACAGTGGTTCTGGTTCTCATGCTTGGCGACAGGCACTTTACCCACTGAGCCATGTCCTGGCATCATCTCACAGCCTTTTGTGCAGCAAAAGGTGAGGGAAGCAGATTAAGCATTAGATAGAGAGGAGAGGAAAGAATGTAGTGGGAGCCTCTGGCTTGGTGCCCAACATGCAAGGAAACCAGTCCTCAGAGCAGAGCTGGGGCCAGGGCTGGCCCCACAGGGACCTGATGGCAGAGAAACCCTTTGCTTCCAAAAGACAGCTGAAACATCTCAGGAGAGTAGGAAGAAGCCTCTGAGCTTTGGGCACCCAGTTGAAAGGTCATCTCGTGGCTCATTCTCAGGTCCCCCAGGAGGCATTGTGACCATAGGAGTTCTGTCCCTAGTGACTGGTTATCAGTCCATTTTGCCTTTTAAAATAAAAGCATTTTATTCGTAAGCGTGTTTCCATAATAGTAATAACTTATGCATAGTTTTATAAAATGCTTAACATTATGCAAAATAACTTTCCATGTTGTTATAATGTCACTATAAAAATAATTTCCCTTCTCCCAAGAAGAGTGTTCTGTGGGGCTTGGATAGGTTGAACTAGAAGAAGTACAGACCTGAGGCCAGCTGGGAAAATTAATGAAATCTTGTTTAATTATTATTGATGTTAACTATTTATTTACCTTTGTTTTATGTGTATGAGTGCCTTGCTTCACGTATGTGCATTATGTACATGTAGTACCTATGGAGCCAGGAGAGGGTGTCACATCCCCTTGAACTCAGGTAAAGGCAGCTATAAGCTGCCATGTGGGTGCTGGGAATTGAAAGCTGGTCTTCCGCAAGAGCAGCATGTACTTTTAAATTTTTAAACTATTACTTGTTTATGTGTGTGTGGGGGGGTTGCCTACACGTATGTCTGTGTACCACATGCATGTGCCTGGTGCCCTTAGCAGTCAGAAGAGGACGTTGGATTCCCCTGGAACTGGAGTTACAGAACTGCCATGTGGATTCTGGGAATTGACCTTGGGTCCTCTGGAAGAGCCATCTCTCCAGCCCTGTAGCTATTGCTCTCACCTGCTCAGCCATCTCTCCAACACCTAAACCTTGTTTTAAAATAAATACATATGGATGACAAGATGGGTAAGGGGTAGAGGGACTTGCTGCCAAGCCTGATGACCTGAGTTCCAACCTGGATCCATGCGAAAGGTAAAAGTAGAGAACCAACCTCACAAAGTTGACCTCCATACACATCTCCATCACACACACATACACACAAAAATAAAATTTTAAACTACATGTGTCTTTATAACACCAAAAAATAAAAGATAATTTTGAAAGAAAAAAAAAAGATGTAGGCATGGCTGGGTACATCTGATCCCAGCACTCAGGTGGCAGTGGCAGGAGGGTAGAGTTCAAAGCCAGCAGGGACAGAAGATGGCTTCCTCAATTGCACTCCACTGCAGTCTTTGAGACAGGTCTCTCACTGGCCCTGGAGCTCACCATTTCGGCTAGGCTGGCTGGCTAGGGAACTCTGGGGATCCACCTGTCTCCACTTCCTCAGGAATGGGATGTCAAGTACCTGTTACCACACTTGGCTTCTTCACATGTGTCCTGGGATTCAAACGTGGTACTCAGGCTTGTTCAGCAAGTGCTTTAGCCACTGAGACATCTATCTCCCAGCCCAGAATAGTATTTTTGTTTGTTGATTTTTACATTAAGTGTGTGTGTGTGTGTGTACAGGTGCACGTGTGGTGTGAAGGTGGAAACGACAGGACAGCCTGAACATGGGTTCTTAGGTGCTTTCCACACTCTGTTCGATGCAGGGTATCACTGCCCTGAAACTTCCCCCACAGAGGCCAGGCCAGCTGACTCCAGCTTCCAAGGGTCTACTTGTCTCTACCTATCTTACTATCACCTGGATTTTATACACAGGTTATGGAGGTCTGAGGTAAATTGTCTACTAGCTGAGCCATTTCCTCATCCCTGACAAGAAGACACAGAGGCCATGAAATGACAGAGTAGAGTTTCTAATGCTGGACTTGTCCAAGAAATGGTAGGAGACACCAGAACCTAGAGGAAGAGGTAGGATGGGCTAGCCCCTAGAATCTCTGGAAGAAGTCCATAGCTTGCCTTTGGATTTCTCTTCTCCAGAACTGGGAGAGAATACATTTCTATGGTCTAACCCCTGAGCTTGGGTTGGTTTGTTATAGGAGCCTCAGTAGATGAGCATAGGCCCTGAGGCAGTCCTAGGCACACACTCCTGCAGGAGATGGAAGCCCCATGGAGCTGTTCAGTTGACTCACACATACTATAGTGAAGCCTTGTTAGAAATGTTCTTTTGTGGGGCTGAAGGAGATAGCACAGAATCAAGAAATAGCCCAGAAGAGAGACTCTCAGAAGGGGTTGTCTATGTCTGTTTGGC